AAAAACTTAATAAACCAAACAACCTTTTGGGCCAACCCAATATATTAAGCTTAAGTCACATGTAGCTAAATTTTTGGGTATAGCAAGAATGGAGTCAGGTTCAGTTATTCTTGTTAAGTGGAGCAAAAAGAAAGATTTTTCACCTCCTGACTGTTGACTGAAGGAATGAGCAGTTGATCTTAGTCTGGTATTTTTCAAACAGTCATTTAATTGGAGTCAAATATCAACTTCTGCTTTTAGTAATACCTTTATTTGACACACATATTTCTTAGTCTCTCCTCCCCCACCATTCTAGATTTGTCCTCCACAAAACCTTTATCTCTATAATTTAGTACAGTGTAATAAGAGAGTTGTCGGGACCGGAGAAGAAGTCTCTTATATCCGGGTTTGGTCTATACGTATACATTAACACAGGTTCTAATTTGGGACCAGAGAAAATCTATCTTATATCCGGGTTTCTCTTATATCCGGGTCTCTTATATCCGGGTTACACTGACAATATACAGATTTTTTCAACAATTCTGGAATTATATTTTAAATAAACTATATGGTTTATGCCTAAAATTACTACAATATAGTTTACAACTTAAATTACTTATATCAGTTTTAAATTTTTTAAAATTATTTTTTGTAATTTAATAAGATTTTTAAAGCATTAAATAGTTGTAATTACTTTTTCCTGGGTATTAAAATAACTTTAAAAGTGAAACAAAGCTATAAATTTTACTAAAACTATATTTTCTTAAGACATATAAGTATTATTTCACATTTTTAATTTTCATGACCAACAAGGTACAGCCAAAATGTTGGTAAAAAACCCTTAAAGAACATTTATTTTAAAATAATTTAAATGTCTACTTTTTATGAAAATTTTGGTTTTATTTGAAAGAATACTACTACTAGCCTTCTAAAAAAGTTAATCGGTAAAAAAAAAAGAATATTTTTTACACATTTAATTAAAGATTTTAATTTTTAAAACATTATCATGGTCAATTTATCAACACTCTAATTGATAAAATCAATGTCAAATGACTAATACCCAGCGAAAATTGAATGCAGTTGAGTTAAGTGACTAAGTCTAAGTTCATAGGTCAGAGTAGCAGCCTACTCTCACAAACCTCACTTTAAATAACAAAACCTGCATTAAATTGATTTAGAAATAAAACACCAAAACTGCATTAAAAAATGAAACCTTAACCAATAAGTTAGGAAAATAATTTTCTTTAAATAAATTATTATAGTTTTTGTTTTCGAAAAATTTTTTACAAGTTTTCCTTTCTTGAAAAATAAATACTTTTTTTACGATTCATTCAAAATCTGGCGGACATAGGTACTTCCACTTTTTCGCGGGAAAATATCATGCTCTTACTTTAGTAAATTAAATTATTTAAGAAAATTTACTAAAAAGTAAACAGGAAAAAAATTAAAACTTTTTTTTTTTTTAAAGAAAAAAAACTTTTTTTGGGGTCTTTAATAACATAAAACATTTTGACGATAATTCTTATTTTATTAAGTTTGTAGACTTTTTCATTACGCTAAGGAAGCTAAACATGGGAAAAATTAATACCTTTTTTTTTAAGAAAAAAAAAAATTTGGTGTTTCTAAAGAAACGCACTTTTCCAATAATAATAATAATGATGATGATGATGATATTAATGATGACGATGATGATACTACTACTACTACTACTACCACCACCACCCACAACTTCTGATTTAAAACAAAAATGTGAAATACGAATTTGTTTTAACATTCTAAATTTCAAGATTTAAAACAATTTTTTATTAAAATATTTTTGAAAAAATACATTAATGAGCAACTGACCAGAAGTGATAAAATTTTCATCACTTCTGGTATCAGGTTTTATCATAAAAAATGTCACGATATCTTTTTTTTTGTGATAGTGATCACAATCATATGAACTCTGCTTTTCCAAGTCCATGTCAGGCTTTTTAAACTTATCTTTAGGATGCCCACATCGCTTCTAAAAATGATTTGTTGTGCATTGAGTGCTTGGGCTCACAAATATGACAGTGTAAATTTACAGACAAATAATCTATCAGCAAAATTTGCATTTTTGAGTGAACAATACTTCCCTCATTGTTCAATTATGGCATTATGGGTAGTGATGTCGCGACCGAAGTGTTTTCTACTAGGAACCGCTCTTTCGTATCTGGGTAATGCCGCAATATACCCTCCAGGAACCAATTGTTGTGTTGTTTTCTCATCATTATATTTACGTCGACTCAATAAAGATTCGTCGATCTCCCCCACAACACCGACACCTCCCCGTCCTCCCATTCGTACAGGTTTTCTATGTTCGACACATATATCACGGCAAAACTGATCCCAATTATACAGTACGACTGTACGGTCCAATTTGGCAGTTTCATTAGACTGTCAGTATGTAATCCTCTTTTTCTGCCAACACTTTCGCGCCACAAATAAACAAATGCCAATATCTGCCACAATTCGAACTTACGATCCATTGTGGATATTAATAGTTTTTCTACACAATTTACAACGCCATAACTTTATCAAGTCATCACTTCTTGCATATTGCAGATACATGGATCTCCACAACAAAACCTTTCTCTTGAATCCGTACCTTCGACACCATGCAATACAATCACTTAAAAATCTCTACCAAGCTGAAATAAGTTTAAAACTCTTGCATGTATAATAACTGGGAAGAAAATTTCTACAAACAAATTATTGAAACGTTTATGTTGAAAATGAACACTTTCATAACGAGAACATAAACTATTTCTTATTGGATATCGCATATACTACGTGATATTCGCCTACTCTCCCGTTTCTCATTAGTAGCCTCCCCACCAAAAAAACACTTGAACGTGGTTTTCCGTTTTATTATGATGGTAACCGAGGTAGGTGATGTAGATTTGTGTAACTTTTTCAGTAACGGTGGTCTATCCTGGTGCAACATTTTTTCTTCAGTTATGTTGGAAGAGCATTTGTTGCGGGAAGTTCAAGAAAACTGAAAAGCGGAAATAATTGCGAGTCTGCACACCCGTAGTTAACCAATCGACAGCCGTGTAATATTTTTAAAAGTTGAAGACAATATTTTCTCAATATCTATGTAATTTACTTATTGAAGGATATCAACTTTGTTTTTTTTTTTTTAAATCCCTGGTTGACAGATCTTTGAAAGAATAAAAGGATTAAAAAATATATGAAATTTAAATCGAAATTATTAGAAAACTACAACAAAAATAAAAAAAAATCTAAATTCTTGACCAATGCATGTGCATTCACTAACTCGAGCAAATTATGTCTGTGTCGAAGCAGTGCGTTCGTGGTAGTGGTGTCGGCTTAATAACTTAAAAAAAAAGAGAAAAAAGGTGGGCTTGTCTTGTCACAACTGCGTCAACTCGTCCGAATGCGTCAAGCATTTTTGGGGGGATAATGCTGTGAGTTAATAATACACTGCTAGGCATTCAGAAATCCAGCTAGTGAGATCTGTCACTTTGTGATAAACCTCACAGTGGCCGGCCACAGGTCCTGGATGATGAAGCTCTGAAAGCAATTATAGACGAGGACAAAATCCAATCAACATGGCGAGCTTCTTGCCAAACGCTTCCCGGTTTCTGATCAAACCGTCATACTTCACATGCATCGCATAGGGAAGGTGTACAAATTGAGCAAGTAGTGGGTACCCCCACATACTGTTGGAAGCCAACAAACAACAATGTTTCTCGTTGTAAATGTTTTTTTTTTGGTTTATTTTGTGATTATGTAAAATTGCTTTTAATTTTCTAACCTGGCACGAACATTTGCACTGATTTTTATCAAATATTGTTTTGTAAGACTCTTACAAACAATATTTGATAACAAAATCAAACAATATCCCTTAAAGGCCATATTTTATTAATTTATTTTTTGGTAGAATTCCAGACGAAGGCATATTGACTTTTTTCTAGATTCTGAATTTATTTTTTTCAAGCATTTAAATCGAAATGTCAACCTTATTCTTGTATTTGTAATACCTTCTTGTCTACTGTATTGAAAATCAAATTAAAAAGGAGTGCAATCACATGAAAAAAATTCTCTAAAATTCTGGAAACTAAAACAGCTTTTAAAAGATTACTAAATTATTTAAAATTCAATAATTAATTTTTGTTGAAGATTTTTAAAAAATCGACATCTCTCTCTACGATCTCAAAAGACAATAATAACAATTAAAAATCTAAAAAAGTAAAATAAGTAAACAAACAGCATTTACTTTTTTACAAAGTTTTTAAACGTAAAAACCGTTAATTAACATTTAATTTCCCCATTCTAAGTTTTCGATTATAATAAATTTAATGATATATGCTTCAACTTCATAGCTTTTTTTTTAAAATTCAAGTGTCAAATTTACCTAATCTGAGTAATTAGGTATTACAGTGTAACCCGGATATAAGAGAGATTTTCTCTGGTCCCAAATTAGAGCCTGTGTTCAGTTAATGTATATAAAATAGACTAAAACCGGATATAAGAGAAACTCGGATATAAGAGACTTCTTCTCCGGTCCCGACAACTCTCTTATATCCGGGTTACACTGTATTTTAATTAAAATTGTTTGGCAATAAATTTATTACAGTGTAACCCGGATATAAGCGACCCGGATATAAGCGAAACCCGGATATAAGATAGATTTTCTCTGGTCCCGTTCTCCCCGATATAAGAGAGTTCATTTTGAGTGACAGTGTGATGTCGTAAATCGGTCAAACAGAGTTTAGTTAGAGAGAGAGTGAAGTTCAATGACTTAATCTTGACTAGTCTAGAGACACGGTGTGTCCAATCTGTGTCTGTAGGAGACACCCTCTACCTTATGATTTTGCTTTGTGTCTAAGGGTAGCGCCGCCCGCTTTTTTGCCGACTTTGCTTGTCGTTGCATTTACTGGACAGCACTTTCACTTTACCCACTGTTCTGTTGAGTCAGAAGTTTGTTAATTTTGCCACTGAAAACCGTTTGCTTGCGATCATTGCGATTAGTGATGTCGGCGTCTCGACGAAAAACTCTGAGCATTTCTGAACAGTTGGAGCTCATCGACGATGTCAAAGTGAAGAAACTCAAACTGGCCGCTGCAGCCAAAAAGTACGGAATCGGTTATTCAACAGCAGCAAAAATTCTCAAGAAAGAAGACGATCTCAAATCTTGCATGCAAATGAACGGAAACACTAATCGCAAACGAAAGCGCCAATCCGTGCACAAGGACGTTAACGAAGCGCTTACACAATGGTTTACGCAAGCATGTGCTCATGGAGCTACCGTCACCGATCACGTCATCAGGCAGAAAGCATCACAACTGGCTGTAAATCTTGAAGTTGATTTTGAACCGAGCAATGGCTGGCTCATGCGCTGGAAGCAGGCCAATAACGTTTCGTTCAAAAAATTAAAAAAAGCCGGCTTTGTCATTGAATCACAGGCTGAAGTGGAAGAAATACTCGACGAAAATGATCAAGTTTCTCCACCATCGGGCAAGGAGCAAACTAACAGATTTTGACGAATTTATCAGCTTCGACGACCGTACACAATGTTATGGAGAACTGACTGACACGGACATCACACGTGGTATAAAATCGGATGATCAAGATTTTGACGAAGATGATGATGCTGAAAGCGTAAGTTCTGAAGTTTCTGAAAGTGACAAACCAGTGCCAAATTCTCTGGCTGCATTGAATGCGCTTGAAACTCTGACAGCCTTTGAAGCAAAAAAAAAAAAAAAAAGCAGTAATCCTGATGGCGCATTGAAAATGATTTACGGACTGTATGAAAGTGTTCATGATATTAACAAAGAGATTTCTGTACAATCAAAAATGACTGACTTTTTAGAGAAAAAGGTAATTTTTGATTGAATTATTTTGAAAACTGATTGAAAATGTATTTTTGTATGTGTTTTTTATGTCTATAACTAAACTAGTGTTCTGGACGTAAAAAGCGTTATATGTTCCCATACTTACCTAAACAAAATAGACCAAACCCGGATATAAGAGACTTCTTCTCTGGTCTCGACAACTCTCTTATATGCGGGTTACACTGTATTTACTCCTTCATTGCAGCTTTTTTTTATTCTTTGTAGCTCTCAAACTAAAAACAAACTATGTTGGTAAATGGTAATCAATTCTGAATATTGTCTTCATTATCATAATGTTTACACGATTTTTGTTTGTTTTTTTTTTTACTTTAAAAGTAAAACTGTCAGTCTTTCTTACTCTTGTCTTAATTTCTTTTTTTTTCTTTTTACACGGCTATGGATTCAAAAATGCACGTTGAAAAGAAAAATAGATCTATAATCTCACAATTTTTAGTTATACTTTTATTTTATTATATGACCATGATGATGCTACTGTTCGTCACAAAACTAAAAAATTTCAGTGTTCTACTTCTAAGTAATGTTTTCATCTGTAGACACTGAAAGTATTTAAAAAATACTAGCGTCTTAACCGTGTGAAGGTAAACGTTTAGAAACCCCGCCAAAATTTTATCAAACAAATGGGCTGACTTATTTAGGGCAGGGGTAATGTAGTGCAATTAAAAAAGTAAAACAAACCTTTTATCCACTCATTTAAAAGAAAAAAATTCTAGTAAATATTTAAACTAGTAAGTAACTTGTATAAAAATGGTATTTTTCGATTTTATGAATAACTCCTAGAAACTGATTTTAAAATGTAAGTAAGTCTTTTTTAAGCAAAGTAGCTTTTAAAAAGTTAACTGAAAATTCAGTTTTTACTTTTTGACACAGACAAGTCCTTTGATTTCGGCAAATTTAAAAATGCTAGTTATCTGTTTGGGTTAAGAAGTGATCTTATCCATTAGATTTTAACTACTTGCTTCATATTCGTGTATAGTACATTTTAGCGTTTCAAACGATTTATGTTTCGTAAATTTTGAACTAAACTAGATTCATATTCTGAGCTCTAATTTGGATATGACAAATCAAATCATGTACGCATAAAACGAAAGTTTTTCTCGATGCAATTTTTTTCTTTTCATAAGTAAAACAAATAATTTAATTCAGCATTTTTGACAAATAAGTTTCAGAATTTGAAAAACAAAAATGGTTGAATGTGGCGGTCGTTCCTGGGTTTGATAAACTTAAAATATGCACAATTCATCTTGGCTTTCTCTAAAAACTAAAATCAAACTTGTCTAAGTAGGCTAGCATTTGTAAAAGACGAAAAACGGATTGGTGGATATTTATTTTTTTCTCTTTTAATTAAATTTTAAAAGTAAGTAATAGGGGTTCAGCTTGCTACGTATTGTAACAAAATAAAAATTGTACCCACTACGGAAGTCCCCACACGATGCTTATACCACGTGCTTTCTTAAAATTTAAAGAGTGATAATTATTTTTTTAATTCGTATCGGGAATGTTTTTTTTTCCCCATATATCAGTATCGATTAAGTACTCCAGATTACGAATTTCAATATAAAAATATTTATTAAGGAAACACGTGGTATGAGTATTTTTCCGTAGGGAGATCAATTAATGAATTTAATTTGCACAACAAAACAAACTGGACCTTTATACTGTATGTATAATTTATGAAACTTAATTTTAAATTTAAAATTGATATTCATGAAGAAAAACAAAAATTTTGGTCGCAATGCTTATGATGCAACTTACCAACGAATTTTATTGAGGTTAGTAACCGTTAGTTGAAATAACTTGCATTTTTAGATGTTTGTATTTTTTTTTTTATTTCTGATGTACGTAGGTCCAATTTTTCTTATTCAAATTCAGTCTTAATGGTAACAGATATTGAATTACATTTTAGTTTTTATATTTATAAGAAAAAAGTTGAATTGAAATTAATGAAATAGAAAGTGCATTTCACCTGCTATTTCCGTTTTATGATTCGAGATCCAAAGGAATGTTCAGAATATGAAGATTTACACTTGATATAAGGGAGGTAAATCAGTATTTGGTATGTAAAAATTGTTTGAAAAATGGACTGTATGTAAAGAAATGTCATCACACTGGTTTAGGCAAGTCAACATTTCGGCTTTTTAATAGGAAAGATCATTGCGAAATAGTCATTTATCTTATTTTTGGGCTTTTGCTTTATTATGCAGGTACTTGCACGACGCACAAATCTAGAGAAAAAATTACTTTTGGGATCCTAATTATTTGTTCGGGTTAAAAAAAATTAATTTTTCTGTCGAAAGATTTATTAAATTTTTATGTTTAAAATGTCTGCCAAATATTTTAATTTAAATAAAGAACAAACGGATACATTTTATTTTGAGAAAATATTTATTTTGTTTTTGTTTGTGTAAACAACACCACCAACAACAAAGAATATATAAAGAAGCAAATATTTATTTAACAAAAATAATTAAACATTTTTAATTAATCCTTTTAAAATTAGTTAGAAACAAACAAAAATATTGAATAAAATCTCTTAGGGTGTCGGGTACATCTCTGCAATATCGTCCAATATATTATTGAATGCGTCATTGTGGGTAGTGCCATATTGCGTCCGCCACATAAATTCGTCCAAATACGAAGATGCCATAGACAAATGCACTCCATGCATACATTTAAATTTACTATTCGCATTTTTCCACATACACTCTACATAGTTTGTGTGTGTCTGTGTATTGGGATCTACAAAGTTTCGGCCGTGATCCACTTTTTGGTGAAGATAAGCTGGGTTAACGTCTATCTGGCTTATTCTGTCATACGCTTCCCAGTTTCCGGATTGGATAGTGCTTCCTGGTTTTATTCTTTGTCTTATTCTCGGTAGAAGTGTATCTGCAGACCTGTCGTTTACAAATTCCAGGTAGCCAAGCTTTGTGGTGGTGTCGTAAATGCCAAATATCCATCGTTCTTGGACATAATGGCTTCTATTATATTTTCTTTTGGCAATAGCTAATTCACATACCTGAACCACTATCCCAGGTCCTCCGAATTTAAGTGGATTGTTAATTAGTCTTGCAGAGCACACTTCTCTCAGGTAATTAAACCACTGGATGATACAGGGTTCAGAAATATCCATCATCGTAATGCATGTCTTTAATTGGGTTTCACATGCCCAAAGATATGTTAATAAAATAAAGTCCTTGTATGAAATTTTACTTTTCTCCAAAAAGCTACCATCTTTTAGAGATATTTTTCTCCCTTTGTGTTTAGGACATCGCCATAAAAGCGTGTCTCCATTTCCACACCTCACTGCCCTCATCTCTCTTTCACAGTTGGATAAAGGGCATTTTGGTATATCTCGTCTCAGTATTTTTTTATCTCTGAGAAATTCTATTGTAGTGTCATATGTGCTACAATGATTCTCGACTAGGTCAAATAATTTCATATTTAAAAAATGCTGCTACGAAAATTGATTTTCTTGAGTCAATGTTTATAAATATTTAAGAATACTTAAAGGAAGGCGTAGTTATCAATAACATAAGCACAATTTTAAATTCGACAAAAACAAGGGAAAGATAACTCTTTAAAAAAAAAAAAAATCTAGATTCGATTATTTTATAAATTTTAAAATTGACATAATTCAATGCTGATAAATGTCACACGTTCGGGAAGGTCTAAAAAGAATGCTAATCAACAAAATTTAATAATAAAATGTTATTACATTTTACGAGCGGACCATTTTCCATAAATAATGCCAAAATGTTTGCCTTTTTTTTTTTTTTTTTTTAAAGTGTTTAAAAACTTGTTTGTTTTTATAAATAAATTCAACTTGTCAACAATTTATTTAATAAATTATTTAATTCTGAAATCCTGAGTTTTTTGAAATATTTTTCAGGTTAGTTATACTGCCCATTTTTACTTAACTCGTTGCTAATTCGCACTAATTTTAAACATTTTTATAAAGCTAAATCCCCCCTTGGTGCTTGCTATATATAAAAAAAAATTAACATCGAAGTTAAGATCCCAAATATTAAGGATTGAAGAAAACTCAAAATTTATTTATTTTTGTGGAGAAATGTTGATACTCAATTTTAATTTAAATGCACTGTATATTCTGTCTTTACAAAATTCTCTTTATTTGTATTTTTACAGTTTAAAACTCTGTAGCGGACCCCCGAGCGCCCCAGTATCACACAAGGGTGAACGGGGTCACAAGAGGCCCGCTAACATTTTTGAAGACGTTAAATCTGACAGTGAAACAATATAGACGACAACGAGGATGTGTATGATATATGCTAATCTTTTCTAGAAAAGAAAAGGAAATAAAGGTGGTCGGAAACGGTAGAGATGCAGAAGTTCTAGTGCAAGCATTGATGGTCGATGTTGGTCGTTACAGGTGATCGCTGTTGGACATGCAGGTGGTCACTACAGAGAGGATCGCTGTTGGTAGTTGAAGTTGGTTGTTGGCAGGATGATCGCTGTTGATTCTTGCAGTTGAAGATGATGTGGGTTGTTGCCAGGATCATCGCAGTTGATTGTTGCAGCTGGTGTTGGTTGTTGCCAGGATCATCACAGTTGATTGTTGCAGTTGATGTTGGTCTCGGTCGGGATGCCAACTTGACGTGTTGGGAAGGAAA